TCGGGGAAGAAGATTGCTTCCGTTTTTGCGGAGGCCACCCTCAGGCCCAGCTCCCTTATGGAGCCGACCACGCACGCCACTGCGACGTTCGCCGCACACACGGCTCTTTCCAGGTCGTGCCCTCGGTTATCACCAGCGTGTCGTCTGCATAGCAGATGACGTGGCAGCCGGAGGATAGGGCTGCGCGGAGAACATAATCGTATGCGACGTTCTAGAGTAGGGAGCCCAGCACGGACCTCTGTGGAACGCCGCACGACGTGTCCCTCCACTGCTGGAGTCCCCGTTTATCGTGGAACTCCAGCTGCCTGTCCCGGAAGTAGTTCTTTACAACGGCGACCAGGTAGGGGGGCAAGAGGTGGTGTTCTCTCATTGCCCCCACTACCTGGTCCCACGATACGCTGTTGAAGGCGTTGGCGATGTCGAGGGACACCGCCAACGCCACCTCCCCACCCGCGGTCATCTGCTCCGAGAGGGCTCGGACCTGTCTAATGGCGTCGATCATCGATAATCCCTCTCGGAAGCCGTATTGATCGCGGGATAGGTTAGGACCATCCCGGGACAGGTGCCGGACGATGCGGGCAGCGATGATACGCTCCAGTAATTTTTCCGCATCGTCCAGCAGGCATATCGGCCTATAAGCGGAGGGACTCTCTGCCGGCCTGCCCTTCTTGCGTAGGAGGACAAGCCGGGTTTTCTTCCACGACTTGGGAAAGCTTCCCTCTTTGAGACAGCTCGTGTAGAGCTCAAAGGTTTGCCCACGATGGGGGCCGCGGCGAGCCAGATCCTACCGTGAATGCTGGAGGGTCCGAGCGCCCTCGGCCTCCCTCTCAGGCGGGCGAAGCCTTTCCCATCTCCTCGGTGACGCTCAGTTCCTCCGTCCATCCGGACGGGGGGCCAGCCCTCTCAGGGATGTCTCTTCCCCGGGTGGGAAAGAGGGCTGCCACCACCGAAAGCGTCCTCCAGGAACCGAGCGTCCAGGATTTCTGTTATCTTCCGAGCGTCCAGGATTTCTATTATGTTAGGAGGGCCTAAGGACGAAGCTTCTTCATCATCTATCTTAGCGCCTCCCCCACGGGTCCCTGTCCAGGGAGGAGACGAGCTCCCGCCAGGCGTCGGCCTTCGCCTTCTTTATGGCCGCCCTAAGGGCGCTTCTTGCGTCTCGGCGGCCACTTCCTTCTCTGCGTCGGTGTCCCGCCGCCTGCGGCGAGTGTACGTTCTCTTAGCAGCTACGGTGGCTCGGCCTCCTCCTTCACCGTATTGGCCGGGTTTCGTTCTGGCCAGGTGGAGGAGAGGGGGCTCATCTCGAGGGCGCCGCGGTCCAGCTTTCACAGGGCCCATCGACGTTCCACCTCTTGTCGGCGGCGTCTACGTGACACCTTCGCGGGGGTGGACACCAGCTCCATCCGGATCAGATGGTGATCCGTCAACTCCCCCAGGGAGCCGGCGTCCACGTGTCATCCTCTGATCTTGATGGCCGCCGCGGAGGTCATCCACGTCAGGTCGACGATGGACTCTCCCCGGGCCCCCACGAAGGTGCTGGCACGGCCACTATTAAGTAAAACGAGGCCGTGCCTCGCCGCCCACAGCAGGGTGCTGTCGCCTCTGGAGTAGATGGGGAACCCCACTCCCACGCGTGGGTATTGAAATCCCCATCCATCAGTATCGTCCTGGGGGAGCGTCGGCGTATGTGCTCCCCCAGAGAGGCGCATCCGCCGCCGCCGATGCGATGCCCCAAGGAGCCCACGGCCGGCCCACGGCACGCGGGGCAGTCGACCTTAGCGCGGCACTCATGCGCCGCGTGGCCGATGCCCCCGCTCCGGTAATAGCACTCGGAGCGATCCACGGTGCTGATGCACTTTTGTTGCACGTGTCCTGCTTCAAGGCACCTGAAGCATTGGAGGCTCCGGGCCGGCAGCAGGGCCATCCTGCAGCTCGACTACTCCCTTACGCGGGAGGCGGCCAACAGTTGTTTGGCCGCCTCTACAGGGCACCTCGCCCAGCATGTACCAAGCCCGTTGGGGGCCCTGCTGACGTCCCCCACCTTGAACTCCCGCGGGAGACGCCCGCAGGCCCCCGCGAGCTCTTCGGCCACCTCAGTGCGGGCCGGAGATCCATATCTCGACCGACGGACGGGACACCCTCACGTCGTTCCGATCTGCGAAGACAGCCGACACTCTTCCCGTCAGTATATCTGTTTTTGCCCGGCTCTTCGGGCCCCTCACTTCCCAGATGAGGGCCCCGATAATGGCCCTCCTGGGGGCGACCTCGCAGATCCTCGACCCCCCCCCCCCACGTCCTTCAGGGAAATCGAGGATCTCGCCTTACCCACTACCTCCTGATAGGTGTGTGGGTCGGCACACGTTAATGTGATCGCCGCGGATTTGGGCGATCTGAGCTTTGGAAGGGGTAGCCTCTTGTCGGAGGCTTTGGGGCCTCCGGCGGCGCTCCCCTTCCTCGCTCCTCCGCCCCTTTTTCCTTCGCTCCCAGTCTTGGTGGGAGCGGAGACCCCAGGTTTGGAGCTTTTAGGCGGCCGGGGCGGCGCCATCTCAGTTTTCTTCGCCTTGGCGGCCGCCCTCTTGGCCGCCCTTGAGACGACCTACGCCCAGGTCACCTCGTTGACGTCCGCCGCGCGCGTCTCGTCTCCAGTTGTTTGGGAGACCTTAGCCGCGGGGGGCGACAGATCTCTCCTCGCGGTGGGAGGGGGTTGGACGCGCTTCCCCTCGCCCCGGGGGCGATCCTTGCGTTAACTCCTTTCTTCGCCGGTTAGGCGGGAGGCTGGCCGCTCCGTTTGGCGGGTGGTCTCTTTTGGGACAGCGCCGCCGTCGTCGCAGACCACCCCCATCTCCCGCAGGAGGCGAGGCAGGAGCCTTTCGAGGATCCGCTCAATCCTTCGATCCTCGTCATCTTCCCCGTCGGTTTTTACCTTCCTCTTTTTAGCCGGAGATTTTTTGCCGACGGGTGCGATCCTGTCCGTCGCGGTCGCCAGGGGGTTCATTTGCTTCGAAACCCCCTGCAGAGGAGATCTGAAGTACGGAGACCTCAGGTCCTCCTCCGTGACCACGATGCGAGGTCGCGACTCCTCCCCTTCCGCGGGAGCGATCCGTCCCCCCCCCCGCGTCCTAACGGGGCTGCGGGCGCCGGTCGAGCTCTCGAGACCCGACCATTCCATCGTCGAGTTCCACTCGAGACCCGGCGCCCCGTCCCTCTCCGACGCAGCGGGAGGTCGACCTCTCCCTTTCTCTATCGCGCTCCAAGATCGTGTTCCTGGAGCGGAGGAGCACTAGCTCTCGGTTGAGCTTTGAGCGGTCGGCGCCGCCGTCGGCCGTCAGGTCGCCATTCGCGCCATCGCCCGCCCTCGTCACTACTGAGCTAAGAGCTGCGGACAGCTTTGTGTACGCTGTCCACAAATCCCTTACTATGTCCCCTTTTATGTTTTTGGCTTTTCAATCGCCTTAGCGATGGTGGCTCTCGTGTTGCCACTGCGACAACAGCACACAAAGGTTGTTCATCGAATTCGAAGGCGAACTCGACGGCCTTCTCTCTTGTCCTTTTTGTGGACGTGGAGGCGGGTTCCACATCTGGGTCGATGATGGCCCGATGGTCCCTCCTTAACTGACGGGCCTTGGCCTTATCGGCCCTCTTTGCCCTGGCCTCTGCCGTGAAATTCCCGGCGTGCTCGGGATTCAGGCCCGGCCTCCCTCTTGATCTTTTCGTGGACTCCCCCTTGGAATCCGAGGAGGAGATCACGAAATCGGCCGTTCTTTTCCGGCCTTCCCGGCTTTCGCCTCCGAGGAACCCCTCGCCAGCGAGGCCGTCGATGCGGTCCTTGAGAGGGCACCCTCCGAGGCGGCAGCCTCGGCGCGGGCCCCGACCTTACTGCAGGCAGGGCCGGGACGCGGCTTACGAGGGTTTCCGCCCCCCGTTTCGCCCGCACGCGCGCGGCCATC